TTAAATACTCATTTCATTTTAATATTACGGGGCCGTTACAAGGGAAGCTTTCAAAATTTTGTTGAGCTGAAAAAATCAATGATCCACTTATCAGGTAAGCAGTGGTGTCTCTTCTTTTCTTTTTAATTTTTCCGATTATCTTGTTTTTGCTTTCTCTATTGGTAGGTGTACAATCAAGTAAAGAGGATAAATTAGACGGTAAAGTTTTCTAATTTTTACGTCATATAAGGTTTGGGAGGACTACAATCCTTCAAAATCCTTACCGCGTCGGTTTCTTTAAAATAAATTTTCTATTTTATAATAATCTACTTCTTTAAATTTTAATAAATGTATCTGAAAAATGTTCAAATTATATTCTGAATTTTTTTTTTTAAATTACTCTTCAATTTTTTAAAATATTTAAATTACATATTTAATCATTATTAGCCATTAATGTCATCAACAATGGTCACGTGTATTTGTTGATATGCATAAGTAGATATCATGTTGACATTAGGTCATCACACGTGACATCCACATGTAGCAACTCAAGATATATTAGTTTGCCTTGTACCCTAACTAATGCGTTAACTCAAATCTCACCTTATACCCAACTGTTTCCGTCACTTCCCATTGCAACACCACAGAGATGTGAAGTTGCTTTCATCGCCTTCTTTATACTATAAAGCTCTTTGTGGTTGTCAACTACTTCATGGAGCCTCGTTTCACCCAATGAAATAGCACAACACAACACAAAGTGAGGCTCAGTGAAGTAGTTAGCAACCATAAAGAGAAGAGACAATCGATGAAACAACATGTAGTAAGGCTCAATGCTGGTGAAGCAGTTGGCAACCATGGAGAAAAAAGAGATTATTGGCGAAACAAAGAAGCAAGGATCTGCAACCAGCCAAACAAGGCTTGAGGCTCATGTTTCCTCACAAAACATAATGGCAATAAAACTTCGGTGAAGTTAGGGCATGGAAGCAAACTCTTTTATAGTGGTGTGATAGGAAGCGACCCGCAACTAAAGGAACAAACATCGATAAAGGCAGAAGTTAAGGTGTGAAAGCTTTATTCCTCTTTAATGTCATGATGGAAGGCGATGGAAGTAGTTTTATTCCTCTGCAGCCATGGAAGGCGATTGAAGGCAATGGAAACAGTCAGCAACCATGAAGAGCTTTAAAGCGCAAATGACGGCAATTAAAGAAGTTTCGCTTCTTTATGATGTGGCAATAGAAGTAGTTGGGTGATGAGGAGGGTCTAAGATCGTCGCATTAGTTAGGGTTTGAGGCTAACTAATGTATTTTAAGTTAATACGAGCATGTTACGTGTGATGACGTTGCGTTCACGTGATATCTACTTATACACGTAAAAAAACATACATACTTATTGCTAACAGCATTAATGGATAATAATAATCAATTGTGTAATTTAAAATTTACATAAGTTGATAGGTGATTTAGATCCAAAAAAAATTCATGATACAATTTGAACATTTTCTAGAAATTGATGGTGAAATCAAGTGTTTTGACCTAATTAATTAATTAATTTAAATTTAATATAACTATAATAATATTTTCGGCGAAAATACTTACTTTTACCCTCAATTATTAAAAAATATTTAAATTACACACTAATTTTTTATAGATATAAATCAACATTGAATTTTTAAAAATATCTAAATTACTTCATTGTCGTTAATATTAATTGGCACCACTAAATCAATACATGTAGAAAATAAAAGTATGTAATTTTAATATATGTAGACACTACGTCAATGACACGTGGCATCAACATAGGCCCACTTAAAAATAAAGAGGTCATTCCCTATCTCCTTCAAAATGAAGCCTCTTTATCCTCCATCATTCGTTCTTCCCATAAAGTGTTGTCACTGATTGCTTCACTGATCGCATGGAGAGAAGTCATCGTTGCTATTATTATTATTTTTCTTTTTTCATCTCTCTCCTCTCATATATAAGTTGAAATCTGTCTCAAGATCAAAGATTGAGTGGAGGAAATGATCTTTATAGGCTTACAACCACAACTTGCAAACAAGCATGGTCATCACCCATCACTAATCTAACGTGAATTGAGAGACGATATTAGTGAGGCACTCATGAGTAAGCTCGGTGCAGTTTGTGCAAAAGTCCTATTTGTCTCTCTCCTGTTGTCCATTTTATATTTTTAAATTTTTTGTTAAAAGAAAAAAATTTCTATAAATTCATAAATAAAGAGTAGAGAGATGAAGAAAATGAAAAGGGAGAGGGAGATAGATATGAGCTTTAAAATTCTATTTTGTCAACTTAAAGTATGAGAAATTGAACTCCAACTATCAAACTCTTTCCACAGAAATATCTCATTTAAAATGAGAGCTCGAGCTAATTCTTATCAAACTCTAGGCACTCCTAAAGGTTGACATGAGTAGCTATTATGCAAAGTAGCTCTTGCTTTGTGGTTTGGGATCAATGCAAAAGTTAGAACACAAACAATCTCATGATTTGTATTTTTTGAGTTGATCTACATGAACATGTATTAATGGCATAGTGTTCACGTGACATCTATTTAATCACATTAATAAACATGTGCACCATTACATACAATATTAATGAATTTTAACGATTAAGCATGCAATTTAAATATTTTCAGTAATATGTAATTAATTTAAATTAAAAAAAATTAAAATGGTATATTTATGTAAAGTAGAGGGTGCAATTTAGTATTTCTCCCAAATAATTTGGTGTTAAAACATCTTTTGGATAAAATAAATAAAAAATTTATTTTAAACTATTAGAAAAATGAAACTACAACAATCTTCCTAATTATAACTATTAATAAATTAAACAAACATGAATAATCCATTTTAGTGAATATAATAATCAGAAACCTTCTTTACAATTTACATGTACATGAACAGACACACAGATGTTATACACTATCATTAATATAATTATATACCTAAATATTATATGATCAGTAATAAGGTTCTTTGAAGAAGACGACATAAATGATGCAGCAAATGGCAAAAACGACAATAAAGACGTCAAAAGTGAGAGCAGTCATGGCTTGATCACTCAGCTCCATGTTTCTTCCACCGAGACGATCCACCATGTCCGGGGTAGATCTGTGATTTCGCAGGTCTTGCTGGTACGGATCCTCCAGCTTCATCCTCATCTTCTTCGCTTGCCCGCTGGCCGCCTCCTGAGCCAGCGTCCAGTCATAAAACCGCCGCTTCTCTTCGTCGCTCAATACGTCATATACTTCTCTCAGCTTCATGAACTTATCCGATGCCGTTTTTAGCGGGAGAGAAGTAGTGTCTGGATGGTACTCCTTCGATAGCCTCCGGTACGCCGTTTTTATCTCTTCAACGTCCGCTTCTGCCGATATTCCTAAGAATCTGAAATCAATTTTCATCTTCGATTATCTCAAATACTGAGTAAACAACGTAAGTTCATATTCAAAATTTAAAACTCACTGGTAATGAGAATCGGAAGATTCGTTGAGCAAATCAGAAAAATTTTGACCTAAAAGATTCTTCTCCTCCTCTTCTGAGTTCAACCTTTTCTGCGTCGTACCGGCTGGTCCTCCGATCCAGCCTTCATCTGGATTTTCCCAGTGGATTCTCGTGTCGACTCCTGGTTGTGCTCTTTGGCGTCTTGTAGGTTCTTGCTGAGTCGACGCCGTAACTCGCGAGCTCCTCCTGTTTGAACGCTGAAGCAGTACTTCTGTACTCTCTCTTAGATGGCTGCGGTGGTTTAAGGTTCTGGGAAAGAGGAGATGGGAGTATGGTGGTTGAGGAGAAGTGGTTGAAGCCATGGGAGATCCTGGAGGAAGAAGAAACGATGTGGGGATTTCATGGCGTTTAAGGTGTTAATCCGTTTTGTGGTGTGTGGTTTGAGAAGCTTTGGAGTTTTTCATAATTATTTGTGTGGCTTGAATTTTAATATGCATTCCACTCAATTTATCAATGGGCTGAATTGGTTTAAATTTAGGATTGAATTATTTTTGGACCCTCTTTTATAAATCCAATTTTTGGGCTTTTTTTT